TGAGCTTCATGCTGAACTCGATTGCCGGGAGTTGAGAGTTTTCAAAAGGCCACGATTGGAGAAGACGAGTGGCGTATGGGTCAAAACGAAGGAATCGATGTCATTAGAGATATCGGAACAAGTTGGCGCAAACTTGCTCATGAACGGGGATAGTACTGCGACTTTATCTGTTAGTGGCCGACTTCAGACTATCGTTCTGACTCTCATTGCAGTACCTAAGTGTCAGTTCAAAGTTGCCTCCACGCGATAACCTGCGAACTCTTCCTTGCAAGATCTGGAATTAGTTACAATATGGCGTGCGCTTCTATGCGGTGCTTCTGATTCCAGACCCCTCCGTACCTGACTCTCGTCATTTTTCCAGCAGAGAACAAGGTAGCTTTCTGTGAACCTGACCTGGCGATCTATACGGGATCTACAAATTTTGCCTTGGTAATTCCAAGAAGAAAGTGTATCTTCGGCTGAGCCGGCCCCGTGTGCATTTTCAGCGAGTGTTCAGCGAGTTGCTTGGTAATACTTGTCAGCCTTACCTGACTACCGAGCTGTGTTCAGTTGGATTTGTGGGTACAGCCGCTAATTAGAAACGGTTGTTCAGGAACCATCTGCCATGAGGCTAAGGGATTAGACTTTTCTAGGAAAAGTGATGACCTGTTGGTCCTCACTACCAAGTTCTCAATACAAGGCGCCCTGCACTTCTCGAATGACATGCGATGATGCGACATCAGCCCAGATTCACTATGCGTTCCAAGCCTGATCTAATCTGCTTTCGAGCTACAAGGTCTAGTAGCAAGATACAACTCAATCATGAAGCCTCAAGCAACGCGTCTTCTCAGCCGTTGTGCCTGCATGGAGGGCCGGGCCGATCGCATGCGGGAAGTATGTACCTCCCGAGTCGAGCCATAGCTCAAAGATGAAGCACGGATAGCTTGGCACGTATGTTAAACTTTAGAGGTGGGGGCCGAACCCGGTTGTGCCCATTGGCTACAGTTCTATAACCAAATGAAAGACAGAAGTATCAATAAATGACAGCAATATAATTAATGCCCCAATTAGAGTATGGCTTAAATGTAAAGGACTACGGACACTCCGTGCAGCAGTGCGGCAGTGCGGCAGTGCGGCAAGTTCCTATTACGGCACGTTCCCCAGGATCAGAATCGTGCAAGTATACCGAAACCATGGCCCTGGAGGTGAATTATTCGGAGCAATGACTGCTGGGTCTCAAATATTAACCACAAGGTCAACTTTATTTTGTGGTCGACCTGAAGCTTGTATGAAATTGAGGAACAGAGGGACAGGCTGGGAGGTTCGATGAAGTTCATCTCTTAACCGCCCTGAGCTTCAAGTGATTGAAGTCACTTGAAAACCATCCGTTTCGGTTATGACCGAATCAGACCGGCGGTGGGATACATAAACACTATTATGGTGTGTAATTTCTGTGTTCTCCGGTCAAGTTCCACCAGGATGGACTCCAGCCTGGACAGCCCAAAAGGGCTGATAGCATCTGGTGGAAGGCGCCAAATATCGAGCAGAATGTGCTTTAAATCCAGACAAAATTTCTTGGAAATGAGATGGCTTGAATAGATCGTTGTCCAGTTATCACATCCATCTTCCTTCTTTTGCAAATCTCGTCATCATGCGCTTCGTACTTTCGACTGCCATCTTTGGCCTCCTTCTCTTCTTGAGTGGCTTTGCTCACAGCGCTGCAACAGACATTGATGCACTTTCGTTAGCGGAGCGCTCAGGCACCTCTGAAATCATCCGTCGGGGTTGGAAGTTCAAGAGCATCTTCAAAGGCAAGAGCAGCAAAGGTTCCAGCTCAGCTCAGCCAGAACAAGAAGTCGAGTCCGAATCAGACAATGAGGAGCAAACAGCTGCAGCCGATCTCAGCGACACTGAGGATGGCCGTGTGCCAGATATTACAAAAAGAGGCTACATTTTCCAAGCTCACCGCCGTTCGGACTCTGTGAGGGTGGATGTCGGAGTCATGATTCCTTCTCCCCAAGATTGGAAGCCAGACATGTTCTGGAGCATGGACGACATGGCCGTGTATCCGAGCGAGAACGAAATCAGGGTGTTCAATGCGATCAACGAGGACGACCCCACACCAGAGCCACGCAAATGCCGTTTCCGGACCATCATGATGGCCACTTGGAAGGAATACTCGAACAAATACGTCTCGGAGCTCGAATATATCAGCTTCGCCAGTATCACGAATGAAGATGCGCTAGAGTCAATCAAGCAGGCATACCTGTGGATGGAGAGAAGCCAGGATGCGGGCGAACCGAATGAACTTCAAATTGACAAGACTGAGGAGGGAACTGATGAGCGGAAGGCATTTAACTGGCTCGTGAACCAGAATCCGCTTGGCCGCGCTGTTCGAGGCATTCCGTCGACATTCACCGCGATGGAGGATAAGGAAATCGACCGCGTGGATCTGTGGACAAGCAACGGAAGCAGATACATACGCTATCGGCTTCGTTGAATATTCCTGGGCACGACGATATGTAATCGATAGACTTGACTCAACTCAGGCCGTGCGATTTGGCGTGTTCTCTCTAAAGACCATTTGCAGGGCAACCTTTGCGGTGCGGCAGATATTCAGTTTCGTCAATATCCGATTATCATGCAATTATGGTCTTTGGAGGCTTCGCTTGGTGTACAGTATTAGGCTTGTTCTCGGTAGACGACAATTCCATGGAGAATTCAATAGCGCATATAGACTAATGGTATTTACCGTCATGAACGCTTGATCCGGGCAACATAATACCAGGTCTGTGACTGTCCGTCGAGCTGATGCGACATAAGCGTGAGCTTTAAAGGGCCTAGCAGGCAGCTGAACAGTGGCTGCCTAATCCAAGAAAGTGATATGACATGATGATAGTCACAGCCACCCCGACAAATCCTGCAGGCAATTATTTGTGTCATAAGCTTATGTCTTGGCTCTCCATAAGAGTTCAGCGGGACGCCCACTGCGAAAGATCAGTCCTACATCCCAACATCCCAATTATCATGAACATCCAAACGGTTTGACATCTGGTTTCTTACCTCCACTTCGAAAGTCGAGACATTCCGTTATCGAGAGACCCGTCTCATGGTCCAGCGGCCTGGCCAATCAAGACCTCTGGGCGTCGCTCTTGATTGTTGGCTGGCCTGAGCTATGCTAATATTGGTTGGCTCGCATTGGACCCTTGTCGCCCCGCAGACGCACCATGAAGGAACATCCGGATTATTATCTCCAGACGCCAGAATTGCTTCTTCTCCACACGCGCGCCTGCCGTCGCCGATGTGTTTGTCGACATTCCACTGCTAGGTTAAGCTTCCCTCACCCGCTCCGGAGTCATGAGAACCGCAGGTGGCTTGCCCCGTTATCGCTTCGACGGAGAGGCTGGCCGAGTGGGGTCGTGGCCTTAGGTACGCAGACGGCCTGAAGCAGGAACACAATGGCTCGAAAGGGCAGTCGGAAGACTAGAACTGGCTGCATAACATGCAAGTGAGTGTGCCTGAGAGTATCCATCTCCATTGATCGGTACACAGTGAGAATTGGAAACTTGCCTCAGAAGATACCTCGCATCTAACCTTTCATGACCAAGTAGGATACGCAAAGTGAAGTGCGACGAGACCAAGCCAACCTGCAATCGCTGCGCAGCCACCGGCCGTCAGTGTGATGGCTACAGTCCGGCGCCCTCGCCAACAAATAAATCCCAACTCCGCCGCTACCGACCGCACCATGTCTTTCCAGGAGCAGACGGCGTCGGAGAGGGCAGAGCTTTGCAGTTTTTCTGCGAGGTAGCCGGCCCTTACATGTCGGGCGCCGTGGACCCTCATTTTTGGCCTAAGCTGGTGATGCAATTTACCAGCTTCGAGCCTGCCGCGCGCCACTCTGTCATAGCCATCAGTACCCTCTGTGAACGTCTACAATTCCAGGAAGATATGGACGAAGAAATTCTCCTAAAGGACGACCTTTACGCCTTGCAACATTATAACACAGCTATCCATGACCTCAGGACCATGACCTCTCCTGAGCGAAGTCCTGTCATACTCCTAGTATGTCTGCTGTTCATCACTGTTGAATTCTTACAAGTCAACCGCGATGAGACGGTAAAGCACTTAAAGCACGGATTCCAACTTCTGAAGAGCACAATCAGAGACTATGCCTGGACAAAGGAACACTTACTGCCTCTGTTTCGACGATTGAGCATCTATGCGTTCCTGCACGCAACCGATCCTAGAGACTTTCCCAATCTGGAAGGTCTCGAGCATCCGATTCCCAGCAGCTTTTCAACGATTTATGACGCTCAAAGAATGGTTGACGACATCTTCAGCCGCACCATGCGGTTGGTGCGGAACGGCGACCCTTATAGAATATACCCAGAAGAACACCAAATTGTGCCGCCTGATTTACTCGTTGAGCAAGCCAGTCTTGCATCATCACTGGATCAGTGGAAGGTACTATTTGATGCATTTGAAGCACGGCCTGCATCACCACCCCCGAGCGAGCATGTACCCGGGCAAGAAACTCTAACAACGGCGCTACGATACGTCATTGTGTCACGATACGAATGTTGCAGAATATGGCTGAACACGGCGTTTGGTGACAAGGAATACGACTACGACAGCCACTTGGCTGTATTCAAAGCAATGTCTACAGAAGCAGGGATAGTAGATCCGGAGGTGCTTGCGACATTTGAAGGGTCTCCTTATTTTACATTCGACACCGGCTATCTCCCTTCAATCTCACTAATTGCAACGAGATGTGCGCATTTGGAGGCGACGTTAAACAAACTGAGGCTGAAACCGCTTCCAGGTCTTCCAAGGGAAAATATGTGCCTGCTTGCCCAGGCCGGAGACTGTCTGTGTGAAGCTTTACCAACATCTTCACGAAACCTTGGTCGACTGGAGATTGCGGAATCCAATACCTGACTCTACTTAGAAAGCTCTACGCATACATACACAAATGACCGTCTAACAAAGTATTACGCTGTCCCCAATGTACTTTATCCCAGTTACTGCACCGGTGGATGTCCATCCAGGACCCACGACTTGATTAGTGATGCAGACTCGGCTGGCAGGTCAAATGGGGCCAAGTGACCAGAGTTGAATAGCTCGGCATAGGTAAGCTCTTCGTAAGACTTCCATCTGCCAGCTACTTTAGCGTCATGGGACCAAGGAGTCATCTCTCGGAAGCGGAAGAAGGGGTGGCCATGCCAAGCCAGCCCCTCGTTGACTAGCCTTCGCATTCCAGCTGCATTGCAGTATAAATCCTTGTCGCCCACGAAGATGAGAACGCGAATTCCCTGCAGGAGTTGTCAGTGAGCTTCGATACACGCCTTGTTCTACCTTGGGCTATTTACCGCATTGAGAAGCCCGTTGACGTACTCATCGCTGGACTTCCACAAGTCACCCACGCTCTCCCACTATTTAAGGATTTCGTACGAGATTCCCTGGAATGAAGCATCCTCGTCAACTCCGAGAGCAGCCTTGACCTTCGTCTGGTTCAAGAAGGCGTCGATATGGCCCAGCTCGGCGTAGCATTCTTCTGATGAACCGTCACCACAACTTCGTCTCCAGTCATAAGGGTTGCGCTTCATTTGCTCGACAACGTAGCCGCTCATGGTGGAGCATTTCTCATGTGTTTCAATAAAAGCTCGGGAGGTCCATCCTTCATCATCACCAGTGCCTTCGCAGATCCCTAGGTTCTGTTCGCACCATAGGTTTAGTGGGGCCCATTCAATGCACTGTGAGGTGCTGAGCAAGCTATCAGGCCCGGAGCAAAGCGCTTCAAAAGTTCCTGGGTTCTGAACACGAAGTCGTATCAATCCGTTGCCAATGAGAATTCCCTTCAAGTTGATGAGCGGGACCACCGAAGGTAGCTGAAGCGGTGAATGATCTCCTGCCCAATGATGCTCGTTGTCTTGAACCAAAAGCGCAGGAGCGGCAGAATGGAGGTTGACGTTGCGAGAGTTTTCGTCGTGGGTGTTTGCCTGGTTGTCAAGTATTGCGGAAGCCAGAGCCGGCACCCACGATCCACCGTAAGACTCTCCAGCAATGTGGAAGTCAAGACCTGAGTATTGAGTGAAGGCAATCATGAGTTGACGAAGAAATCGGTCCATCATTTGAGATGCTTCTTGCAGACCATTGGGTATCTTGGATCCCGTCGAATAGCCGACACTTACTGGCTGACTGGAGTTGGATCATGCAAGTATTAGTCAAGCATCTTTGAAGGTAATAGATCAGGCTGTTCCCAAAAGACAATGCTCAACTTACTCGACAAAGATCAAGGTTGCATTCGTGTTCCAACCGTGAGGGTTATCGATGGTGCATCCGCCCTCGGGCGCGATGCGACAGGGACCTAACTCCATCAGGTTCCCATAACCAGTAGAAGACGCTCCTGGGCCGCTGAAATATTGAAAGACAAAGCTGGCAGAGAGGTTAGTCTTGGCTCGAGACGACGAGAAGCACTGACCCAGACATCCATAATATTACGGGATCGTTAAAAGGACGATGTTTGCTTTCAAAGAGCCAGAAAAACAGATGACTCTCATCAACGCCATCAGTTGTATCTATAAAGCCGGCGACACCGGGAGTTGAGCTGTTGCATACACTGGCCGTGTCGGACCCGAGCCTGAGGGAGAATCCCGGGATGTCGGCCGTGGCGGGGAAGTGTGCCACGGGAGAGCCGGGCGACCGAGAGTGGGTTGGCGAAGCAAGGCTTTGGCTGACGAATGCCAGTAGCAAAGAAAGATGTAGAAGCCATGATACCGAGAATCTAAATCGCTGAGACATTTTTACCTCCTGATGTTTGGGACACCAAGATGCCATGAAGAAGCTGGATGAAGCGCCAACTTTCGACTTTTTTCTAATGCAGCGGTTTTGCTGACCCGAATAGGAGTAGTGCGGGGTTCCTGATCGAGTTGTCGGATCCCTCACGGTAAACACATACTGTCTGCGAAGACAGAGTATGGCCAGTGGATCATGGCAGAGATGGTTGGAAAGCGCTTCAGAAGGCTTAATCTCTCCATTTCTCTGGCTAGTGTGTATTTGCACAAAGATGTAGGAGAATCCATCGAGAGATTACGTATGTGAGCTCTAAGACCTCCTATTTGAGTAATGGCGTCCGCTGGTCAACCCACTTTCAAGAGTCACCGCAGCATTCAATGTGAAGGAGTGAGAAGAGAAAATCGTTCTGGATCCTACATAGATATTTCGTAACGGTCATGTACATCATCATTCAAGAATCTCAAGCAGTGGCACCAGCAGCCTCGCCATCAACAATCAAGCTCGAGGCCTCCTCAGCATCACTCGGCTTGACGAGCTTAATGGAAACCTCGGGGTCCCGAGCATAGACACGCAGGCCTAAGACACAGACAGCGTTCCATGGAGATCCAGTCAGCTCCTCTTCGTCATCCAAGACAGTGGATTCAGCATCAGAGTCTGAATCAGAAGCCTCTTCCTCCTCAGCAGGCGCTTCCTCAACAGGCGCGTCATCAGCGACGTCTTCGGCCTTAGATTCAGCGATGACGGTCTCCTCGGCTGGCTTCGACTCCTCTGATTTCTTCTCGCTCTCATCGTTCTCGAGTTTTTTCTCTGCAGTCTTTTCCTCCTTAGGTTCTTCCTCTCCGTTCTTTTTTGGCTCTGGGGTCGGACCGTCGCCAGGCTTTGACGTATTCAAGATTGCTGGCTTCTCTGCCTCCGTGGGCTGAGCTGATTCCTTCACTGAGACTTTGACTGCAATCGAGTCACCTTCCTTCTTTGAATCCTTGTCTTCGGCCTTCTTCCCTTCCTTCCCAGTAGCGTCCTTGCTGTCTTTCTTTTCCTCGGTCTTCTTGCCCTCGTTCGCGAGGTCAGACACAACCTTGGCGGAATCCTCAAGCGCCTTCGCCGCAATCCCAAGCGCTTTCTTCTGCTTTCTTCTCTTCTTTGCTTTCTTGCTCTCCTTCTTCTGCTTTGCTTCAAGCTTCTTCTTCTCTACGAGCTCGTCCTCGTTCCGAACACCACCCTTCGCGTGAGCGATATCGTACTGTAAGCCGACCTGTCGCAATTTCTGCGGGTTGCGCTCGGCGTACTCCTTGACTACTTCCTCAACAGGCTTGATTGTGCTAACATCGCCTTCGCTGTTGCGAACGGCCGTGATCTTAGGCAGAACCTCGTAAATGCCTGGCTCCAGGTCGACCTCACAGCTCACCGAGCGATTCTCCCATTTGTGTACGGGGCGGACGCGACAAATCTGCTCTGGCTCAGGGGCATCGGTCTCTTTCTTCTCTCCATCCTTGGACTTGTCGCTGGTCGCGGAGGGGGGAGGAGCAGCTTGCTGGAGGACGAAGTGCAGTTCAAACCAGTACTGTCCCTCGAACCCATGGAAGTAACGGTCGTCGAGCTGCGTCAGAACAATAACAACCATGCCCGACTTTTTGACCTCTACAACGAACTTGGTCTGAAGGAAACCTGTCACCCAAGATACATCGGCGGAGGTCCACTGTTGCACAACGGTCCACTTGTCGTCGAATAGGCGCGTGCGATGGATGTACATAAAGGTCGAGAGCATATCCTGGTACGACATCCAGAAGACGCCATCATCGCCAAATGTATGATTCATACGCTTCAGCCAGTATGGCGTCCATTCTTTGGAGCCGTCTGACCATGGACCATTCCACTCGCCGACACCGCCATCGGATCGTTCGCCCCAAGGGTTCCTGTGGGTGCAAGTGTTAGAGCAAGGCAAGGTATCAAAACACTGGGAACAAATCTTACCGGATCTGCACGAGGCGAACCTTTTTACCGTCTTCGTCAACCTCCTCTCGTGACTGGAGGATAGAGTATGCGTGTCCCAATGCTAGACCGCTCTTCTGCCAATCCCACCCGGTACCCATAGCGGCAAGGGCGAAGACAAACTCACCGTCAGAGTTAACAAGCTCCTTCCACAGCTTGTCCTTCCTCAACACGCGGTTAGTCGCAATGGTCGAGGTCACACCACCTGTCATATCCTCGACCCCCTCGCCGGGCCAGCCACCTGAAATGGCCTCATAGTCGCCGTGAACCTTGGCGTATGCTTTTTCGAGAAGTGGTAACCACGTCTCGTTCTGATCTTCGCAGCGGGCAAAGTAGAGAGCATCGGAGCCTGTCTGGTGCCTCTTCCTATGCAGGCGAGCCTTCTTGCCACTGGCATCATAGACATCTCCATAGTAGTCAAAGTCTGACTCATTGAGGTAGAGGTTATCGTCAATGACTGTCGAGATCCACTCGCCATCGCGCTGAAAGACAAAACCATAGACTCCACACTCTTCGTCGCGAGCGACACAGACTTTCTCCATGAGGTCTTTACGGTGCGCAATGGTGGCAACCGCGGCGAGCCACCAACAGTCACCATTGGAACCTTGCTTGATATCGGAAGACGAGTAGCCATTCATCGTGAATTGCGGCGAATCGAAGATCCAGTCAACGCGGTGGATTGAACCAGGGTTGTAGTACTCGCTTCCGCGCACGCCATGACGCTTCGAGACCTTGCCAGATACTGACTTGGCTCCCTTGCCGGCGGCTGCATTGGCAAAGGGATTCCAGATGTCACTGTCACCCCCAAGAAAACGGCTCACCGCCGTGGGGTCGATGGGGATAGTCGAGCTGGGACCCAAGATCTGCGCAGCGTTGAGAGTGTCAAGGCTGTTCTTCACATCCCAGCTGCTCACATATGGTACATCCCCCGCGGCACCACTTCCACCGGTACCCTGGTCCTCGTCACGAATAAGGCCGTTCAGACAGTTCTTCTTAGGGTCACGCTCGATGTCGAAGTCGGGGTCGGTGAACTTCTCATTTGTTCTCTCACACTCTCGGATGATTCGCTTGACCTTCTCTCGGCACTCGCGAGCGGCCGCGTCATATGACTCCTGCGCGTTGCGGGTGGAAGAGGCTCCCTTCTCCTGGAAAGCAGGGAGGAGGGACGTGTAGAGAGCTCGAGGGAAGATAGATGTCACCTTCCCTGGATATTTAGAGTGGAATTTGTCCCAGAAGTCAGACAAGGTTTCTTGGGGGCTCTTCTTCGAGCGCTTCGTTGCTGAAGGAAGGGGAGGCACTGGTGGTGGCGGATCGCCGTAGGTCGCCATATTGAGCAGTCGGATATCAGAGAAGGTTTAATGACTAAACTGATGTCTTGTTTGTGTCGGGTCCTTTGGAGACATGAGGTGAGTGACTGACTAGTTCAATAGAGTTGAGTTCATTTCGGCCATGCTGCTGGACTTAAGTAGTCGCCGTAGTCTGACGAAGACATCATTCACGCCTTGAAGGGTTGTATAACAGGTATGACAGGGCATTGGTAAGGCTACGAGCCACCTACTGAACCCGGCATCTAGTGCTGACGCACCAGCGATAGTTCCCGTGTACAACCGCACATCAGGGTGTTTGGGTGTGAGGCTGCCTAGAATCGCGTTACTTGGATGTTACAATATTGAAATGCGAAACGAAACTCAACCAATTGTATGAGATCGTTGGTGTGAAGGCGCCCTAGGTATCGGAACAGTCGGCTTGCTTGGCCGCATTCTGCAGAATATCGAACCAAACTTGCTCTAGTATGCAGCGAATCGCCAGGGTTGGATCTGGCAATTCGTACTACATGCACCAACAGCACGCAGATTGGGGGCCATTCTGCCGCCGGGCTTCTGGGCCTAGTATCAGATAGAATCATGGCGCCAATGACTTTAGCGCCGCGAGGTTGGGCTGATGACAGCAAAGCACACGGCTGGTCCCCAGGTCTCCTTCTCGGCCACGCACGCCGGATAACATGAGGGAAGGCTTACGGTCTCATTTCAGTGGAGTAACTGTGAAAAACATCACCCCGCGCGATGAACTGGCGACTCTCACGTAAGACTTAGGGGAACGCCATGCATGCATGAGATGCAAGCCACTGTTAGTGCGTGTCGCTACCCCAAGCCCTTACGACCAACTCATTTGGGACAATGTAGTAATCCAAACAGGGGTTCTGTGCAGATGGGAAGGTGAAGCTGAAATTTGGACTGCAGTCACAGGAATGACAGGCTCACTGCTGATCATACTGAAAGGGTGCTATGGCTTGGCCAGACCTGGAGAATTATTCATCGTGATTGAGATTTCTATCGCGTTGAACGACTGATCACATACATGCGCACATAGGAGAGGACACTGAGTACATTTGATTGGACAGAAGTATCATTGACCCCCAAATCAACTTAGACCTGAGGCCGATAATTGATAGGACGGCTGCTATACACTGCAGGAGATTCATTCTTCATCCATGTCGACGCCGATGAAGAGTAACTTCGATACCAATTCTTCAAAGATATTCTTCTCAAATCTATTCTTCAAATTAGTAATTAACCTCCCCCACCCAATTTTTGCAATGTCAATGTCTTTGTCTAGGTAATGGGATGCATATCTCGGCTACGCATGGTGAGTAGCAACTACGCATAGGCATGCTGGCCAATTACATGATTGGCACTTCAAGGACCTGCCTTTGCCATCGGCAAATAAGCTCATTGTACATCAATCCTTCAAACTCGGACAAATTTCAATTTTCCTCTGGCACAGACTGTATCGATCATTGAGCCCTGAAAGCTTGGGCAGGTATTCGAGAAGTGTCTCTCATTGGAGTTAGATATGTGGCATCCGTAGCGTTCAATTGGAAGCTTTGGTATGTGCTCATTTCTTTACTACGAGGTCTATGGCCGACTCATTCCCTTCGCCATGCCGCTCATTTAGGTGGACATGGTCAGGTTCAGTGCTGAGTTAGCAGGAGCTACTTGCGGTACAAAGCAAGCACTTTCTGCCAGAAGGTTGTGGCCTCCGGTTGAGCAGTCGCTGTCTCTCCAGCTCCTCTATGATCCGGCACATCAACGACCTCGCCATCTAGACCCTTATTGTTGGCGGCGTTCTGCTGCTTGCCTAGGTAGAAGTTTGGCATAAAGAAAGAAGCGACCAGAGGGATACAAGACAAGCAGATGGCGGCGATTGTGATGTGTCCGTTTACGATGGCGTAGGCGCGGATAGATCCTTGGCGAATGGGATCATCAAACTGGTACTTCTTCAACGTCTTGATGTTGCCGTAGATCTTGGCGATGATACTATTTGAAACTCCAGGAAGTTCCACACGCATCTGGTCAACCATCTGCTCCGTCCAGATGCTCGTTGCGACGGCGCTTCCGATACTGGATCCCAAGGTAGACCACAGTGTGATGATGGAAATGATTGAGGCAACGTCGTCGTGGGGAACAGACGCCTGTACACCAACGCGCGCACCAACTACATTGAGAGAAGAGAGACAGAAGATGAGCTGCGCTGCTACGAGCCGAGCAGTATCTTGAGTCATGTTGCCGGTCGGTTGGACCAGAAGGCCGTAACCGAGAATCTTAGCCGCGGCACCGAAAACCATAAGACTCTTGTAGCGATGAGTGCTGCGGTGAATGAGACCAACCGCAGGGCCGACCAGACAGAGGCCCATGGTGGTTATGCCTAAGAAGATAGTCCACTGGTAGGTAGTCCACTCCTTGATAATGAGAATGTATGATGAGAAGTAGGTGTTGCGAACGGACGAGGCCATTTGATTGAAAGTGTGGATGATGACACCTGCGATGAAGGCGCGGTTTTGTAGAATGCTCTTCGTCATGAGAGGCTTAGGAGCGAGGAATATTTCGAACAAAACGAAGCTAATGAGAACGACGAAACCCATGACGATCATGGCGATCATGCTTGCGTTGGTCCACCCGCCATCGGCGCTCTTAGCCAGTGTGATGGGCAAGAGGATCAGAGAGAATGCAAACCCGAGGAGGATGAGGCCAACGATGTCGATATCGATCATTCCCCGGTAAGCAAGTTTGGCCCAGTACACCAAGTTCTTGGAAGGGGCCTCAGAGACACCGGTGCGAACGTTCTTGGAGTCGGCAATGGTAACCATACCAGCTTTCTCTCCGCGACGCTGCATTGCGTAGAGGGTAAAGATAGCCGGGATGAGGAGGACAGGGACGAGTATGGCGAACATGCCTAAACCCCATCGCCAGTTCTCGTAGAAACCTTCAGCAATGAAACCGTTGACGGGGACAGTGACAATAAAAGGCAGGGACAGGCAAGCACCGAAGAAGCCGCGCCATTCCAGAGGAGTCAAATCGGCGACAATAATGTCGCTCAGAAGATCGAGGCCTGACTTGCCGACTGAAGTAAAGCAGATACCGACAGTATAGGCGGGGAAGGCGGTGGCACTTGCTGCAACGGCAAAACCTACGGCGTAGAAGGCGAGAATGACGACGTACGTCGTAGGTCGCGAGGTGATGTCGGCAAGTTTTCCGATGAAAGGCTTGCTGATGGCGCGGATAATTTGACTGGCAGTATTGACGGTACCAAGTTGACTGTGGACCTTGAACGTTGAAGCAGCCAACGTGCCAAAAATGGTTGTGGTGATACCCATGTCGAGGGCATAGGCGAACATAGTCAGGCCGATGGATAAACCGAGGAGCCAGAGTAGAATCTTGCCCTTCTGGCCAGAATGGTAGAGTACCTTGTTGAAGGCTTCAACTCTGCTGACGCCGACTTCTTTTGACCCCTCATTATCAGCGGATCTGTCGTGTTTCTCATCCGGCTCGAAGAAGTCCTGAGGGACATCGTTCTGGACGGGAACCTTTTCGGGAGCCACTGGCTGATTGTCGGCCGCAGGTGTCGACATATTCGGCGACTTCTGAAGCTGCCCGAGTTTTCGAGAGGTTTCAGGGTGAAGATGATGTTGCACAGACACAGAGAAAGGGCGACGTGGAGAAGGGTGGAAGAGGTTTATTAAAGCCTCATGGAAAGATAGACAGCAAAAAATCTACGGTCTTGGCAGCGGTACAGTGCCACCTCTCAATCCTTCTGGTGGGAAAGTGCTAGCAAATGATCACCCCACACTACGAATACAGGCAACCAGAAGTGACCAACGATAGGGCTCTGCTGCGTGACATAAAGATCAGTCTCCGAGTACAAGTCTCTTTCGGTACTTTCCGACATCGGTTCGCCCAGTGTCCCGGACACGCGGATGAGACAGCTGAGCTCAAGATTGGGTGATTGGCTCTTTGTGTTTATCAGATCCTTTCTGTATCCACTACGGGGGGAACCTGCCATCTAATCAGATGGTCCATATCTCTCTATTAGGGAGGGATCACCACCTTGGCGGGACTAGACTCCGACTAAAGCTAGGATAGATTCCTTCATGGGCAAAGTATACAGTGCCATTAGACTGTTCGTAGAAATGTGCCACCGGGAACCTACATTTTCATGGCTTTGTCATTTGTCTGGCTCCGATCCTAGACCAATATCTCGAGAATGAGGAACCATCTCCGAGTTGTGTAAGCGGGACGGGTCGTCAAAGTGAAATGGCGAAGATTTTTTCCGAGACATCAGCCCACGGAACATGTAGCAACCTGGATAGTGCTTACTTTTAGCCTGAATTAAGCTTACTCGAGTGGCTATTGCTACTCGTTCGAGTCGAAAGATGGGTACAGTATCCCTGTTCCTGGCAATAATCCCGCAGATTCGGCGTCGGACTTTGTCCGGAAGGGCTTGGCTACTGGCTCATCGCCAATCTGTCGGTTTATATAGTCACGTTCATCGGACGACCTATTGCGAGAACTGTTCATCATGCTTCCCTCTTGGTTAAGTCTTTCGACCATGCATCACAGTGAAAAGAATTGCTTTCCGAGGACGCTGTGAACAAATCGCCTTCAGAGTGTTGATTCCATCAACACCATCACTCCAAAGCCATGTTGTCTCAAAAGTCGGTCTTCACATAGTGGACTCAGGCTCCTGAGTTAACAGTTAAGGCCACCGCATCAAAGGCGCGAATGCTAATTCAACAAATCGAGCGAGCCCTGGGAGGAAGAAGAAGAATGTGTATAAAATAGAGAATAGTCATGTCTAGTTATGTTGAAATCAAGCATCTTCAAAGACTTCTGACCGCTCTTAGCCTATTTTGTCTCGCCAGTTGCGTAAGCTCTATCGTAGGGGCGTATAGATCGAAGATGTGAGGGAGGCCAGGGTACACATGCAATTCCATTTGCACATTAGCGGATGCAAGCTTATTTGCAAATGCTACCGCCTCAGCGCAGAACAGATCAACTCCACCAACATCGATGTATGTATAAGGGAGATTTGCAACGTCAGTTGCTCTCCCTGGTGCCGCATGCGGAGGTATGCCCGATCCTCCGGCCTTGCCCTCGAGATACGCATTCCAGCCAATCTGATTTGATTTATCCGTCCAGGTGAGGAATTTCGATAAAGGATTGTCTGCTTCAATCCTAGTTCTGTCGTCTAGCATGGGATATATGAGGACCTGCTTCGCCAATGGCGGTGACAAGCCTCGATCCCTCGCCAACATCGATGCACCTACCGCTAAGCCACCACCGGCGCTCAGTGCGTAAAAGCCTATGCGAGACGCGTCGATGTTCAAGTCGTTTGCATTCTCGCTCAGCCACTTTAAAGCGGCGTAACAATCCTCGGCAGGCGTTGGAAACGGGAACTCGGGCGCTAGGCGGTATTCCACAGCGAACATCTGGACCCCGGATTCGAGAGCGGCTTTCGCGGCGAGTGGCCGGCTGTGAGGGTCGATATTTCCCCCCACAATCCCTCCTCCATGAATGTAGATAAAAGCCGGCTGCTTGCTCATGGTTTCGTTTCCGCTCGGTGTGAACTGGTGGAGCGTAATTGTTTCGCCGTCGAATGACTTGAGAACGTGCTTGGTCTCTGTTATACCAGCTGGCAGGGCATCTTTGAGGATAGCCGAGAGACCCGCGTTGACGCTGGCTCGGAGCTCCAGCGCATTGGTAGGTCCCTTTGGCGGTCGGATGGCAATCAGCGGACCGGCAACCGCCCAGAACTCTGCGTCGAATTTGAGGCCCGTCATCCTTTGCGTCTGTTTTGCGTAGTAGAGAATGGACAGAACCCCGACAATCATCCCCAGAATTGAGAAACCTGGGCCCATGGTGACTTTTATGCAAAGAGCTTCTCCCAAGCTCCTGGTTTGCTAAGGGGAAAAAGGATGTTTCGCCCTGTTCTACATTCCCTACCGGGGGTACGCGAAAGGCATTATATCCCCATAAATCATGGGTTCAAGCTGGGCAGCTTTAACGTTGGCGCCACTCGGCACCATGAACCTATTAGTCTGGAAACTTCAGATGACTAGAAGCTCCGCGTTTCAAAGCGTTGAATGTTGGAAGCTTCCAATTCGTCCGAGCGGCATGAATCAGCTCCAGGCCAGCAATCCGCTGGGGCTCGGGTGAAATCCTCTGAGCGCATGACCGATGGGGATTGCCACGTAGGCAATGCTGGTATGGCTTCCTTTCATTTTTTCTTGGAGAGGTTCTGCCTTTGGAATTGACTTTCGCCTTGCATTGCATGGCACATGACGTAGCCCGCGTGTCGACTTTTGTTCAGCTGTCAAATGTCGGGCTTTTCCCAACTCTCCTCGCCCGTCTAGTGTTGCCACGACTGACATGATGACTGATGGTTGCGATGATACACCGATAAGTATACTGCCATTCTGGAATCGAGACTGAGTGCTATTAGTTTCGTCTGAATTCAGAAACTTTTCCTACAACCTGCCGAAAGACAAATTTCATGCAGACCCCAGATGCACGAACGCCCCAATCCGAACCCGAAGTTGTCTAAGTTACTTGGTTCGAAGAGATTGTGAGCCTCAGTCAAATACATCAGTCGCATATCGCTCGTTGCGGATTTTGCTGAACCACTCCTCCAGCTCCTCATCATCCATCGGCTTTCCGTCGTCCAACTCGCTCTTCTCCCTAGCCGCTCTAAGCAAAACATCCTTCACTCCTTCGGCCACTCTGTTAGAACCACAGACATAGACTCTAGCACCTTGGTCCCATAGCCCGTACAACATATCGCGTTGCTGCCAGATGCGATCTTGTACATACTTGGATCCATTGGAAGCTTCGGGCTTCCAACTGTAAGCTCTGAACACCTTCACAGCACCGACGGCCTCCCACTTATCGAATTCTTCACGATAGAGATCATCAGCTGTTGGGTCACGGCACCCAAAGAACAGGATGGCCGGTGCAAGAGAGCGACCGTTGCTGAGAAGTGTAGCACGTTCTTGAACGAAGGCGCGGAATGGTGCCAAGCCGGTTCCGGCTGCCACACATAGGAGAGGCGTCTTATCCACGTCGATTGGAAGCTTGAAGCCACCTTGCGAAGCACGGATAGCAACTTGTAGGCGGTCGCCGGCAGTCAACGTAGCCAGGTAAGAGGAAGTGACGCCGACATGCCGGCCTTGTCCTGATAAGGCGGGTTCGTCGAGAACACCATAGGTGATGGTGGCGATACCAGGATCTACAAGAGGTGACGATGAAATCGAGCTTTTCACTATCGTCAGTACGATTCTTAATGACGGGAGTCGAGCTTGGTCTTACTATTGACGGACTCTCATGGGAGGGAGCATGAGCAAGAAGTGGTTGAAGGGAATGATTAGGGATGGGAATTGCTCGGCAATATCGAGAACTGAGAGCCTCTTTGCCTTGATCTCAGTGTCATAGCCATCAGTAGCCAGGCACTGAAGCTTATGGCTCACATCCTCTTCCTTCGCAAATTGCGACAGAGTCGAGATGTTCTGTGCTCAGCGTGTTAGCAGTTTCTTCTAGTATCATTCAGGCGCCGATCCCGAAACCCACCCTCTTTGAAGCAGTTTGGCATAGCTCAACGTACGAGCTCAGAACATCGGAAACGGGGCTGCTGACATTGGTCGGCAAGGTTGTGGGCCCGGAAGCCTGGATGATAATATGTGAGTCCCAGGTAAGATGAAAGCGGCGCATTACCCTGGCGACTGTGTCCTTGGGATTGTGGGGGAGCACGGCGATGTAGTCGCCAGCGGAGTATCGCATGTTTGTTGGAAGCTGCACTTCAATATGTCTCTTGACCGGGCCCAGGTATCCATGGGCGAGGGTGCGGGCATCCAGAACGAGAGCGTCTCTGACGTCTTGGCGCAGAGTTGACGTTCTCGGAGTGGAGAATGACACTGACAAGCCTGCCTCGGCGATATTGTTATCGCCTCCATTGGAATGTCCACCAAACTCTTTGACGAGCGCAGGCCACAAGGCCTCATCTTCCCAGGCCTCAAAGTCAGAGAACATGTCGCGGTCTTTGGCGTCCGTCGTGCTAAGTGAGATGATTCGACGGGCTCCACGTTCCTCCAGCGTGTTGTCAACGAGCTTAGGGACGCGATGGTACGTTTTCACCCAATCAGCATGACCTAGAGAAATAACACTTTGTCAGTAGAGGTTAGCTCGAGAAGAGCTGTTCAGATCTTACCGCAGCCATAAACAGCATAGGACACGTTCTCGAGTTCCTTGCCCTTGAGATTGGTCATCCAATCGACAAAAAGTGCAGCGTTATGAGGCGGCTCGCCCTCGTAAGAAGACGTGACGATGACAACTGGACGATCTGTCGGAAGAGACTCTCGCGCAGTGTCAAGTGAGTCAACAGTCGCACTGAAGCCATGTGATGCGGCATCACTAGCAAGTCTGTGAGCCATGAATTCGCAAGTGCCAGAGTTTGAACCATATAAGATTGCCACATTCGCTTTTGTGACAGGGCCAGTTGTGGCTTCTGTTCCGTTCGTAGCTTCGCGGGCTTTGGCCTTCGGCTGGGCGGGCAGTCCTCCGGTCAGGGACCCGGCCATCCGAGCTTCCAGCATCGACGGCGTTAATCCTTCTCTCAGGATAGCCCGAATGTAAAAGTCTTTGGGCTTGATTGTAAGCTTCTGCGAGACTTTCAGGTCGTAATTGGGGTCGTGCATAACGAAGTTGAAGTTCTGCATCAGCAAAGCGAGGGCGAGCACCATCTCCTGCCAGGCGAATGCCCTTCCAATACACCCACGCATACCAGTGCCGAAGGGGCTCCAGCAGTTTGGGAACTCTTTCATAAGCCGGTCAAAGTTTTCGTCGAGCATCCTCTCTGGTCGAAATTCCTCTGCGTCGTCACCAAATACCTTGGGGTCAAGATGTGACTTGGTCAAGAAACAGAGGATCTGCTCTCCGGCTTTGACGCGGTACTTGCCACCAATGATCTCGTCCTTCATAGCTTCTCTCCCAAAACCAAAAATGGGAGCGCTGTGTCGCAGAACTTCTCTCATGACCTGTTGACTGACGTTAGCATAGATGAGAGAGAGAAGGGGCCATTACACATGGAGACCGGGATGCTTCGTGCAGCTCTTCCTAGTCCCTATACTATAAGAAATTTCTGTGTGAAAGTAAAGTTGGAAACTTACTGCGCTTAGATACTTCAGCTTGCCAACATGTTCGACTTTCAGAGGTCCGTCTCCAATTGTGCTGTCAACTTCTTCTTGGACTTTCCGGTATACTTCGGGTCTCTTTAGCAACCAGTACATGGTGAAAGTGAAAGTAGCAGCAGTAGTCTCGTGGCCGGCGACAAGAAAGGTGATCAAGTTGTCAATGATACTCTCGTCCGTCATCTTACGGCCCGTCACAGGATCAACAGTGTTGAGCATCGCAGTCAAGAGGTCTTTTCGACCATTGGCGTCTTTCGGGTCCTTCTTCCTAGCCTCGAGAACCTCCCTCGCGGTGGACCGAAGGAAGCTAATATTCGCCTTGTATTTGCGGTCTTGTTTCTTGTAGAAGACCTGAGGCAGTACGCGTAATGCCTTGTCGCCAGCTTCTTTCATGACAGCGTACATTGCTGTGATGAACGGGTGCGTATCTTCGCGATAGTAAGAGTTGAATCTGTAACCCATCGAGCACAGGGCAACTGTGTCCATGGTGAGTCTCGTCATGTCTTCGCCGATGTGTATGGGAGTCGAAGATCCGTGGCGTGCCCATTTGAGGGCAAGTTGGGCGGCCAGGTCGTGCATATCGTCGAACATTCCTCTGATGGCAAGGGGACCAAAGGCAGACATCAAGACTCTGTGGGCGATGCCCCAGTTCTCCTCCTCGACACCTTTTGACTACTGCGGGGTCAGTTCGTTGTAGTGTGAAGTCTGGCAGGCCTAGAAACATGATCAAACTTACCGTGAATAGGCCATCGTGTACTGCCTCGCGAAGCTCCTTCATATGACGTGTTGTCAGTCATATCTCAAGTACTCATGCGAAGTAACTTACGGTGAGGTCCCCTTCTATCGACTTTTTGAACCTCTTATCGTCGCAGCACTCGTTGACTAACTCGTGGGTATTGACAAAAACTAGTTTTTGGCCCAGAAGATCAAGCTTGTAGATAGGGCCTCGGGAATTGTCAGTCTTGAAAGTGCTCTCCGATACGTCTTCTGGTAACCACGTATCCACTGCCGGGGAGATGCTACACACCATATTTGTTTGCCATGTGTACAAAGGACCCTAGGGGATAGTCTTGGTCAATCTCGGTCACGTGCCCCAGAACGGGCTTCCGTGGCGGCTCCGGGATCTCAATGATACTGTTCGGCATGTTGTCGGCTTTTCTAGAAGACCTCCGGGAAAGGCTGAAGACTCGTTTTCTCCTTTCGAACGTCGGAATGGTGTCTGACGACTGAGTATTCGAGATGGACGACATGATGGACTTGGTAATCCGATGACTTCTTGCGGCCTATATATCGGCTTCTCAAAAAGCACAGGTCTTCTAATTTTGCTGATATACAGGCAATATGAGGCGGTAGCCAAGCATGATGGGACAATTTCGAAAGCCGCCGGAGTCGATCAGACTGAGTCGGTCAGGCTGGTAGTCCTTCCCTTCGGTGTCCTCGGGGCAAGGCTGGTTGTGGCTGAGGGAGTCGAATCCACAGAACACCACGCCGAAGAGGATTTGAACGAGACGAGAACACCACGTATACCACGACAGGCGTGCAAGATTCGTCATACCTTCACCCGCGGAGGGCGCGAGTGAGACTCTGAGTCCTTTTCGCGCCGTGCACTGGCCCCGGCCGGTCCTCCGCGGGCGTCCGATGCCCACTTTTTCATCCGCGCTACCCCCTTTGCATCGTCTGCAAGACTTTCCATGTGGTACGATAGCAGTCTGGATACCTAGATCAGAAACATAGTTATTTCCTGGAGTCAGAGCTCGTTCGTTTGGGGTGGTGGCTGAGTCGATGTGCACTCAACTCTGGCTACACCCCAAGTACGCATTGCTGAGTGAATGAAGACTCTAAGCTGGCTCGGCACCGGGCCGCTGCGCTCGTGACACTAATGCGGAAGACGTTCATTTAAACGTCAATTTTCGACTAGCAACATGTTCCATCTACATAAACTTGATTCCATTCTGGGAGACGAGATTCAAACCCTTTAAAAGAGAATCGTGAAAGTCAACATACAGGTGCTGTTACTGTGTTTGAAATTTTGTGCGAAACGCTTTCCGAGAGTACGAGGTTCTCGGGTTTCATCAAATTCTTCGGGCTTTTGGTAGATCTGGTAGATAGTCCATGTGAAAGAAACGATGACTAAGTTCCGCAACTTGAGAGGGACAATGGTCCACGTGATCGACCAAATATGAGTTGTCGGCGGTCAAGTTTAAAGCGTCGCAGCCCTCATGTATAGGATCAGTCCATCTCCGACTGATTTTGGGAGAGGAGGAATGAGGTTGCATTTTTCATTGTGTGAAGAGAATGAGTGAAGTGCTGTAATCTATTGTGAACACGGTGTCCAAAATTCTGGACTTTCGAATGCCATTGGATAAAAAATGCTTTTATTGGAAATCGTATCGTCAAAAAAAGCAGAAGATTTTATAAGTCAGCCAGTTGACATATTTTCCAATACTACGACTTGGAAAACAGCCTCAGTGACTTAAAGCACGGGTCAACCATCTCTTCAGGAGACATAGATCAGTTAAAAGAAGTAGAGCACGGCACGGTTCGGAGGAGGGGGTGAACGACAGGGCAAAAAAGGTAGGGGATATGTGTATATGATCCCTGGATGATGACCAAGGTAGTGCTCTACCGGCAAGATAGAACTGCCAGGAACTGAGATTGGTAACCTACCTTACTTTCATACCTCTATGGTCTACCATGAACCGTTACATGGATGGTCCGCAAACTCAAATTCTACTGTTGCGATTATATATATTTTTCTCAAATCTGGTGGTCAGCCAAAAACATCATCTTGCACATGTTTCTTGCGAAAATTCTCGTCACCCTTCTATCAATAACATCATGAAAGTTACATCTTCACTCGCGTACTTGCTGCTTGCAGCTACGGCATCATGCCAGCACGACGGCGGCAACCGAGAGGCCGATAGTCCGGACGTTACAGCGACACAACCTATGTTGACTACGGCATTCAGTTCAGCTTCTCCGTCCCACGTTGGTCAAAATTCCAAAGACATCGCCGATGCCTCTCCTCTAGTCATTCCAACAACAGTCCCGACAACTTTCATCACATCCACCGAGCCCGCGCCATCGGGAGCACTACTTGCCCCTCCAAAAGGACGGCGCCCCGCAAATGGTCTCCCTTGGTATACCGAAAAAGACATCAAGAGCGTGAACACAGTCTGGTGCGTCTCCAGAGGCCACTACGACGTCTCCTACAAGCCCTTCCACGTCTGGGCCCTCGCCGGACGAATTCACCCACGCCACAAACACAAATTCGTCTTCCATAGCCTTATGAAAGAGGAGCCAGTAGGGGGAGAATACGAGATCATACCCCGAACCTACCGCGTCACGGCCAATGACTACCTGCCGGACGTCGTGGACGTGAAAGATCTGCTCTGCATGTACATCAGGTCGAGAAACTTTGGCGAGATCCGGCCGGATATCGAGACTGCTACAAATGCCATATTGGCCAAGATTGACGATCACACATTGTTGAAAATCATGAGCTACCCCACCGTTGTCAAGGTCGAGTCTCTCTTCAACATACACGGCGAGCCTCATCCGAACGATTGGAAGAACCAGCATGATGATAGGCCCTTGAAACCGGTGAAGCAGAAGCCCATCCCTGTACCGACGTTGCTCCCATGAGCATTGCAAGTAATCCGATCTCACGAAAGATTCCAAGACACTAATTTGCCGTGTACAAGCTAGACAAGGGGGAAATCTGTGTGATGGGAAATTTCTTCAACCAAGGTACCTCGGTAGAAACCGCGAAGTTTAAAGTAGTTTTATGATCCCTCAGTAAAAGGGGAGGAAGCTTTTGTGCCCTCAGTAATAGGGAAGGAGGCTTTCTTACCCTCAGTTAGAGAGAATGATTAATCTTTACAAGCTATCTCTAACCAAGATACACAATGGACACAGAAGTTGGGTTTGCGTCCGTTGCCCTTTGTGTTGACTGTTGCTACTCATTGCCAACCACTCTACCTATGGTTCTGACACCGGTACTTGTTATCATTCTCAGCTTCAGTGATCATACAAATGTTCCGCTTCCAGCGCGAGCATAGTCAATACTACACGGCTTTTCCATACGGTGTGGCCGCGTCAACCGTGGTGTCTCGGCTGAGGATCACGTAGCTAAATCGCGTCATGTTTCCTTAACTTCCAACAGAGATAAGCTTATACCAAACCACCACAACAAGACACCCGTATCAGTGAGACCACCTGCCATTGGCCAAAGAGCTCTAAAGACTAGCCCTCCTATAATGGTCAATCGTCCACCAAACATGATGCAGAGGCATAGTTCATAATTCATAGGCTACTTGCGAAATTGTGGCTCTGGTGGACCGCGGCCGCAGAGATATCGTATGCGGAGTTCTTAACGATCAAGGTCATGGTGCACCAGAAGGGTTCTCCTAGTATGGTCATAAAATATCAGATGATTCCATTAGACCCGTAGGCCATCCATGTCAAGTAACATCATGTACGCTGCCGTAATCCTCCCCCAGAACAAAATTCCCCGCTCTTTCAAAACCATATCAACTTGCTCACTCCTCCAACTGGTTCTCCGCGAGAACCTCTCTTTCCGCCTTGGTCCCCTGCCAATTCACCATCTTGACGAGAATGGGAATCAAAATCGCAATAATCATACCCGCACCCAAAAACCCAGCCGTAACACCAAAACCAGTGTGATACGCCGGTGAATCCTTGCTCGGCCAGATACGGCTTCCGTACACACTCGAAAAGTTACCAAACGCATTCACCATGGCCAACACAATAGCACGCTTCTCAGCCGGCAAGCTAATGACACCACTCGTCCAGGACAAGACGAGCGGCAGCGCAGACCAGATACCCGCCGCCAGGAAGCAAACCATGACGTACCGCACAATCGGCGTCTGCACGGCAGCGCACACAACAGCGCACGCAAAGCCCAAGCCGAGCGGCGCAGCAACGTGCCACCGCCTCTCCTGGTGCTTATCGGAGCTCCACGCCACAATGTTGAGGCACACGGAGGCGACGGCGTAGATGGGCACCGTCATGTACTGCGCCTTGACGGTGTCGTAGCCCAAGGTAAGCGTAATGGTAGGGATAAAGTACGAAATCGTGCCCGCGCCGACGTCGAGCATGAAGAGCACTATGAACATGTACGTCCGCGGGTCCGACACGGCCGCGACAAACGCCTTCCAGTGCGACAGGCGCGCCTTGTTCTGCCCGCCCGAGGCGATACCGTCGGCAATAATACGAATGCTAGCGAGCTGGCGCTGGGCGGGAGTAAGCTGTTTCGCGGTGGCCGGGTAGTCGAGCAGCACGAAGAAGGCGATGAGCGCGACGCCGACGGTCGCGACGCCCTCCACGATGAAGAGCCAGCGCCAGCCGGCGATGCCGTGCGCGTCGTGGAGGTTGGCGGTGATGGCACCGGCGAGGAGACCGCCGAACGCGCCCGAGAGGACGGCGGCCGTGTAGAAGATGGCGAAGCGCTTGCCGAGCTCGGCGCGGGTGTACCAGCACGACAGGAGGAAGAGCACACCCGGGAAGAAGCCGGCCTCGATGCAGCCCAGGACGAAGCGGAAGCCGAGGAGGGCGCCGTACGTCTTTGAGATGGACATGAGGGCGCTGAGGGCGCCCCAGACGAGCATGATGCCTGGTAGGAAGATGGAGGGCCGGCTGCGGCTGAGGATCATGTTGGACGGGACCTCGCAGATGAGGTAGCCGAAGAAGAAAATCGAGAGGACCCAGGCGTATCCATCGTCGGTGAGTGAGAGGTCCTTTTGCATTCCTGCAATCTTTGCGTTTCCCTGTGTTGCGTTGAGATGTCAGTGGGCCCGTGCTTTGGAGTAGTGTTGTTGAAATTTTTCATGCGATGCTTCGTTGCCCCCTTATCGCCATGAGGGGAAGGGAGAGGAACAGGTGACTGGGATGGACTTACGATGTTTGTGCGGTCGACATAGTTGAGGATGTACATGATCCAAAGCATGGGCATCTAGACTCCGAGTCAGAATGATCTCAATGAGGATCTCTTGAGGCGGCGATAGACATACCAGGTAAAGGTCAATCTTCCTGACGAGCTGCTTCTCCTCCCGTGTGCCGGGCACATAGCTCCTCAGCGCCTCAGCGAGCTCAGCGTCCGCCTCGCTGACGACGGGCGCATTCTTGTCTTCCTTCATCTCGAGAGATTGCTTGCGACCGTTCTCGAAACTCATGATTGCGATCCCCTCGCGTCGTGTGGTGTCGCCGTCGTCGATGTGGTTGTTGAGTGTCGTCGAATATCGTCCGGTTCCTTTGTCTACACCTGACTCGGAGCGGCTGAAAGTGGCGAATACTCTTTCACACACCACAGTGTTGGTCTGTGTGTAGGGGCGACCTCTTGAGCGGAGCAGAACACGACGCGATCTTACTCGACTGGAAGAGCGACTGGGGGTTGTTAAAAGGAAGATTGGAAGATCCGGGGATCTGGAGACGATGAGGCTGTGAAGGGATGAAACCTTCTTTCCATCCAAACACGGTAGCTTTCACAGCGACGTCTGATATATAATATTCACAAAACGCGACTCGTGTCTAGTGCGTCGTGTCTTTGCCCGGGGTGCTCCGTCCTTGCTCTGCTCTCCTCCCCCACGGGGTAGACCACAAACTGGGGAAAGAACTAAAGGGGAACTAAGGGGGGCCGTGTGGAAGTGTGGATGTCGAAGGAATCCGCTTGAGAAGGTGGGCAAGTCTGGAGTTCTGGACCTGTCACGGACGAATCGTTCATCGTCTTGCTGGAAATCAGACAATGAACTATTGCTGTTGGACCAGACGAGGCGTGATTGGGCTGCATGCGTCGAGGACCGGATCTGGATCCATCAGAATGGGAGGGGGGCCGCCAACAAGCGAGAGCCAGCGCGGTCTTGTGTCCGGGTCTAAGTGCCGGCCATCAACTGCGGCGATCCCTCCGATTGGCACCGGGCTTCGCCCCGTTTGAACTTTCCCCGCCTTCAACCATGTGAAGCTCGAGACGAACATCAGGAACGCTGCATGTGTGCATCTCAAACGTGGAAAAGCAAGGCTCAAGGTGGGCAATTCATCAAATTGTGATCTCATTAAGTCGACGATGTTGTCGTCAGCCGGGCATCTGCGAATTCAACAAGTCTAGCATGTTGAGCGGATATTGCTCCGGCCCCATCCCAAAATTGTTCATCATCTCTCCGCTGAACATCCATTGGTTCCAGTCCTGGCCCATTTCCCCTTCATTCCAAACTTGGGGAATCTGCTGGCCTGGTTGACCAGGCTGGCCGGGCTGCCCTCCGGCGATGTACTGCCTCTCCTGGGGACCACGTTCCTTGAACTTGTCCAGCATGTTGCTCAGGCCGCGTCCGATGTAGTGAGCCACATGACGGGCGCAGCGGTTAGTTTCTTCCAATAATTGGACGACCCGCTCGATGAGAGAGACTACATCTTCGTAGCGTATATCCAGCCTCGCTGGCTTCCACTGCGCGTGGACCTTCATCAAGAACATCGCGGCGTACGCGATGGTTGTCAGAAGGTACAGAGGCACGCCAATGACTGCTCTCCGCATGTCGGAGTCTGTCAAGATCAGTTCCAATGCGGCAGACGCGCTTGCGATGGCGAGATTGATGAAGTCGCGGCGTTCATCGGACATTGCGTATTGGTCAGTCGGGTTGGATGGGTTCAGACCCCTGAGGCAGATGGAAAACAATAGGAGACGGGCAAAATGATAGTGGAGGATGACGCCCTTGGCAGGGTACTTTGAGATGTGTTTATCCGGCACTGTTGAAAGATATTAGCTGACAATTGGTTGGCACCGGGATTGAATATCTCTTACCTAACCGAGTTTCCCATTGAAGCTTCCATCGACCCAAATCGGCATCGTATCGCTTGAGTGCCTCAAACTCATCTCTGGCAACTTGCCTTGATGTGTCTGGTCCAAAAGTGTGGAAGACCCGGCTCAAAATGATAAAGACACCAACCTGACTGTGCAGACGATGGTCCGCTTGTGTAATGCCTGGCAGTAGAAGGAATGCCTCGTGATGCGTGATGGTAGCGTCCTCGTTAATGACTGGAGGCCTGCCGTACGCAATACTGAAGTGATGGTCGCAGACGTAGAGCAGGTACCATAGCCGGGCCTTCTCGACGTGTTGCGGTCCCTTGTTGAGGGCTTTGGCGCAGAACTGATGAAGGTTTAGCTCCGTAGCGATTCGCACCGCAAGACCAGACACCTTCCAGCTGATGTCTGAAAGCCAAAATGCGCCGATGCAAAGTCCCCTCACATCGTCGAGACTGTGGTAGCGGTCGAACATGGTCTGGCTGGCTAGCTCCAGAAAGGTCGGGTAGCAAATATCGAAAGCTCGGCCTTCATCTTGTTCGTGCAGAGCAGTGACAGCAAGGATGGCGGCCGTGAGCAGAGGTGAAGACATGCGCGTGGCCGTGAGGTTGTCATGGACTAGTGCAATGCCCCCCCACAAGTACGCATTGAGGGTCCCACGGAACGTGGAGAAAAGCTGCTCGGCCTCCTGGACGCTAAACTTGCCCTGGGCAATGAAGTCTGGCTCTTGGGCCCGGCTGGATGGGAGGTGGACCCGCGCTCCAGGGTCGCTCCGGATGTTCCGCAGTTTGGTCACTTCGAAGAGGCTGGCCATTGGCGCACTCACAATAGC